CTATTTGGCAAAATTTGACTGAGTAAATAACCTTTGCAGATGATCACAAACCTCCTTTGTTGTCTCATACTTTGCCAACTCTCTACCTATGAAATCCTCAACAGAATTGTTAATCCAAGTAATAATTTTTGATTTTTTGCTTCCCAGTCATCTATCGAAGCAGCATAACTCTCATCAATATCCTTAGTGTCACAGAATTTCCACTAACATATCTCCACATCTTTTTACCCATAAGAAAATTTCTCATCACGTAACTTTAATACGAATAATTCTTTCCATCTAACCTCACACTCACATACTGAAGCGAATCATCTCTTTTAGTAGCCATAATTAAAAAAAAAAAAAGGAAAATCAGATTGCAAAAGAAAGGAAAACGAAATAACAGTTGGAACCGCAAAAGCTCTGTTTGAGATTAAGCCTCATCCCATAAAACATGTCTCTGATACCATGTTAAACAATCCAAAGAAATAAAGAAAAAAGAAGAGGAGGTTAGGATTTCATTGATTCTGTATAATGCAGTTGAATACAAAAAGATAATTTAACCTAAATACAAAGAGATTATATAGTCTAAACAAAAAAAAACTGAAAATACTATTCTACCCTTAATAAACAATTAAACAAAATAGCCCTATATTTATTAACATGTAAATAGTTTATTGAAATTGTTATTTAGATAAAGAAATATTTAAATTTAATTCGCAAGAGCGTAATTAAACTTTAGAAATGAAAAGAAAAAACCTAAGAAAAAGAAAAGAAAGTGAACAACAAAATCCAAGGCAAGTGAAAACGCTTTCTCTTTAAGACAAAATTCTCACACAATGGTGTAACAGTTTACAGCACTTGTCTTCCAAGATACAACAGACACAACTTGTGGTAGAAGCACTTCAAACCACAAGCAACAGCGAACTTTGAATGAAAATTTCCCTCTACAAGAAAATGTTTTAGGAATGACTTTTGGAGAATTTTTGTAAGAGTTTTTTATGTAATGCTCAATGCAAAATGATATAGATGCATAATGAATGTCTAAAGTGTCCTATTTATAGAACATAAGGGGTTGTGAGTGAAGTGTCACGCTCCAAATTCAGCAACCTTCACGAAGAAAAGCAACCCTTGTTGACATGTGGTTGATTTCATCCTTAATGTTTTGATCATAACAAACAAGATTAATATTGTTTCTAACAATTAATTTTGAGTGATGATAGGTCAATGTTAAAATCAATCAAGAATTTTCAAAATCAAAACAATATAAATCGGAC